CCGGAAAGCACGCGTCGCGTGGCGACTTATGGCCGATTTAAAACAATATGAACGCATTGATCTCAGTTTAAAATACCTCCCATCCGAATCGCAATTGGAATCAAATTTGCTTTCCAAACATTCTTTTGAACGATTTTTTGATTGAAACAAACTAAAATAAGCTATTCTGGTTGATTCTGAATCAAACAGAAAAATGTCACAATTGTTGCTGAATCCGCGTGGTTAGACTCAAAGTAAGCATTTTTATTCAAGAACGCGCATCAACGCTGCGACAGTTTGATAGACTGACCGATTATGGCAATGGCCAGAACCACTGCGCGTCTAAAAAAAACATTCCGCGCATTGATGCATGCCTAGGAAATGTATACCTTCTCGGATTCATCAAAAAGTTTGTTTGCCCATGAATCATGAAAATATGGGATGCCTAAGTTTACGCTATAAGCTTTGTCCATCCATTTTTCCCGAATACTTTGCATATAATAACTGCGTAATCCTGCTCATGCAACCTTGTTTCCAGGCTTTAAGTCATATGACCGCAAGCCTGTAATCAGTAGATAGAGGACCTCAAGCAAGCTTCCACTTCTCGGCAGATTTGTTGGCTCGTTTCTGGAATCCATTGCCATCATTCATTGCAAACACCACTCTTTGAATCTCTAGTGGCACTTATAGCTTAATACTAATTCAAAGCAAGTTAACGTTGAGTTAGATGGTCCGGGTGACCAGAATCGAGTGACCTTTGGGTTTTTCGAGCACCACGAAAGTATAGTCAATATCTTTTGAAACGGAGGTTAATTTAATAGCTTTCAAAAATAAACAATAATTATGTCTAATCTTAGTGGAAACCAAACGAGATAACATTGCCGTAACACGTTTCAAGCTTGGAATTAGCTCTCCAATGCTGACTCACGTCAGAAGTAAGGGCTTTTAATGGATGCAGACCAAGCTTGATTCACATAAAATTGAGACGACCATTGAATAGATTTCAAATGGGGAATCGAGTCCAGCACAAGCCTGATGCCGTTCGTTTTTTTTTTTTTGCACAGCTTGCCATAACACTGGTCTGCAGTATGTTATTTGGTCTACAACCCCATAACACTGCCAATGAATGTATCAGGACTGCACATGAGGGTAAGGGTGCGAGTCGTACCCGAACCTAGCCCACGGCTTTAAACAGCTGGTGTCCTCTGCAAGCATGTTCGCTTCTACTGGTGACTTAAGCATTGACTTAAGTAACTAAGCAGCGTGAGCTGCTTAAGGTGAGCCAGAACCAGATTCCTGCAAGACCGGTTCCCAAAGTGGAACGGCTCAAGTTGAGCGTGCGTTCCTGGTGCCGTTTCTTTTCGGCCAGAAGTGAACGGATCTTTTTGTTCCGCGCACTGGCATGCGGTGGTTGCCTTCCGCCGGGCTGCTCCCAGGTCAGCAGCCAGCCGGCCCATCGTCTGTACAGTGGTTGCCTTCCGCCGGGCTTCTCCCAGGTCAGCAACTAGAAAGCTCACTGTCTATACAGTGGTTGCTTTCCGCCGGGCTTCTCCCGGGTCAGCAACCAGATCGCCCACTGTCTATACAATGGCTGCCTTCCACCGGGCTTCTCCCAGGCCAGCAGCCAGCCGGCCCACTATCTGTACAGTGGCTGCCACAATCGCTAATCAAAGTGGAGCCATGAGCCGACGTTTGCCGTGGTACCGGGTGGAGGCAGACACGCTCCTCGACACCACCTGAGAGAGGGGCGCGCCTACGACCGACGGCGGGAGAAGACGTGACGCCCGTGCTCGTCTCTGCGACCCGAGGTGGGAGCAGACGGGGTCTCCGACCCCATCCGCGGAGTGAGTGAAAGGTGGCCTTGTGCCGCATCGCACCGCACCGTGCTCGTCTGCGAGAGGGCGGCTTGTCAGTGCGGGCTGCAGCCGGTGACGTCAGCTCAGCGTTGCATACCGCGCCCTTCTGGGCAGATGCTAACATGTGTTCCAGCACAGCTTTGACGTCACCTCAGGACAGATGCACACGTCTGATCCAGCACTGTTTTGACTTCGGCTCAGTGTTGCACGTCGCGCCCATCTGGACGGATGTACATGTCTGCTCCAGCACTGTTTTGATGCATCTCGGTGTTGCATGTCGCGCCCTTCTGGACAGATGCACACGTGTGATCCAACACTGTTTTGATGTCATCTCAGTGTTGTATGTCGCGCCCTTCTGGACAGATGCACACGTGTGCTCCAACACTGTTTTATTGTCACCTCAGTGTTGCATGCCGCGCCCTTCTGGGCAGATGCACACGTGCGCTCCAACACTGTTTTGACGCATCTCAGTGTCGCATGTCGCGCCCTTCTGGGCAGATGTACACGTGTGCTCCAACACTGTTTTGACGCGTCTCAGTGTTGCATGTCGTGCCTGTCTGGACAGATGCACACGTGTGCTCCAATACTGTTTTGACGCATCTCGGTGTTGCATGTCGTGCCTGTCTGGACAGATGCACACGTGCGCTCCAACACTGTTTTGACGCATCTCGGTATTGCATGTTGTGCCCTTCTGGACAGATGCACATGTATGATCCAACAATGTTTTCGCAGAATCCGCTCCCAGTATGAATCGCAGTGCATTGAGTTGACTCCTACCCGCAGTCAACATTTAGCACCGTTTCAATGGGCGCAGTAGGTGCCTTGGCGGGCGTCGGGTTTTGGCCGAGATTGATAAAGTGAGATGCCCACGAGCGTAGTGTTTTACTTTACCCATTTTGCGCAGCCTGCTTAAGATATCGCACGGTTCATAGCAGCTTTATGTGCCGATGATTCATCCAGGAGCTCTGAGCCTGACAGCCTCAAGATGGGCTGTATTACTACACTTTTTGATTGGCTTCATCACGACAAAACTCCTGGGCTCGTCCGTTGCTAGTAACAACTAATAATGGATCCGAGGTGTTCCGGAAGCAACTGTGTCTATCAGGAGCCTCACGTACCCCTCTTATCAGTAAAATCAACGTTTCGACCAGCGTGATCGCCATCTCACGTCCGTCATTATTTAGTCAGTTCCAGTCGAAACCGGCTCCATCCGGAAAAAACCGGCTCCGAAACCGCGTCCATCCGCAAGTCAAGCTCAAAGAATGACAGTGTACATTCATATGTCTGCGCGTTGTCACGCCTAACAACGATTATGTAGCATCTCAGACCGCATGGAGAAGGTCTTCAGTCCGTACGATTTCATTCACGCGATCCATTTTACCGCTCTCTCCCGCGCCGCCTCGCCCTCTGAAATCGTCACGCTGACCCGCCCCCGATCAGAGCTCGCCGAGCCCACAGGGCGCCGTTCCACTCCGCTTTTCACCACCGTCACACCCCCGTTTCCGTAATCGGAGCCGTTTTGCGCGGTCGCGGCCGACCGGCGGCCGTCGGCGCCCGGTGACGTCACACGGACCACACCGCGGCCGGTAGTGCGCCGAGACTGGCGCGGCTGGCCGGCCGTCGGCTTTCTCCCGCGAGGGGAAGGAGGAGGGGAGAAAACCGCGCGAACTTCACGCGCGCGGACGTGCGCCGCCCGGCAGCCAGGTCGCTGTGTGTCACGTGGCGACGGGGTCAGCTGTGGGCCTGACAGAGGAAGGGCCAGGGAGGCGTGGGGCGCTGGAACGCGGCTGGCCCACGCTCACCCGGTTCGACACCGGCTGATACGGGTTTCACTCGGTGGGAGCTGTTTCGCGGAGGTTGAAGTGTTTTCGTATTCATTTCTGTGGTCAGAATTTGCCAATCCGTTCCATGGTTGGTGCGTGATTGACGCGTCACAAGGTGTTACCCCCATCTAACAGCAAACATGGTGTGCGACTTCCTGCACCAATGTCAACAAACGAATGCCAATGGACGGCTGCAATGGACCAACCGGTGGCACATGAAGTTCGCCGATGCCAGTTCTCGCATGAACCCGACATGTCAGGGAGGATGAGCTCAACACCGGACGTCTGTCGGATCTCTTACTAGATTGGGGCGCATGCCTGGTGTAAATCCATCTCGCCCAAGAAAGTTAAAACACAGCCGAGACAGAGCGTTCTGCGGGACCACATTTTCGACCCTTCCAGGGCGTACCAGCAGAAGTGCATTGATGCTCGTTATCTGTAAATAACTACGCCAAAAAAAACGCCCCATACCGCATACATATGTGTATTGCCACAAAGCACACCAAAAGATCCATACAAACAGGAATCGAAACAAAGCAGCATCTTGACTACACGAACGTCGCGCGATTCATCACAATTGGATGAGCATTGCAAGACATGACATCCAGAGGGCAGGCGGTGCGTTATGCTGGAATCCACGGGACCGGTAGCTGATGACGACGCTGACGACGCTGAGCAGTAGGTCACGGCCTAACAGCAACTCATTTCCAGACCACATTTGGACTGAAACGATTCAGTGCAAGGAGGAAAATAAGCCTAATCCGCATGTGCGCATCTTTCAAGTGCCGTGGTGATGATCACCACTTGCAAACTTCGTGGTGATCTAGTGCGATCGTGGCACCTCCAACTGCTCCTCTCCCTAGTCCTTCCCACCCTCCTGTCGAACCAGCCTCAGCGCCATCAGTACACCGCCGTCACAAACCACCCCGCCGCACGCCAGTCTGCACGCCGCCGCACGCCAGTCTGCACGCCGCCGCACGCCAGTCTGCACCCCGCCGCACGTCAGTCTGCATCCCGCCGCACGCCGGTCTGCACCCCGCCGCACGCCAGTCTGCACCCCGCCGCACGCCGGTCTGCACCCCGCCGCACGCCGGTCTGCACCCCGCCGCACGCCGGTCTGCACCCCGCCGCACGCCAGTCTGCACCCCGCCGCACGTCAACCTGCATCCCGCCGCACGCCAGTCTGCACCCCGCCGCACGCCAGTCTGCACCCCGCCGCACGCCAGTCTGCACCACTCCTAACGGCCCCATCTCCCGACTAGGCGGCGTGCGACATACGACGTGCGACACGCGACGTGCGACATGTGACGTGCGGCGGCCGCCGAGCGCCGCGCCCCTCCAATCACCGCTTGCCGTCGGCCCGCACGCCGAGCTCCTCCAGGACGGCCGGCACGCGCGCTGCGAGCGCCGGCTCGTCCAGCGCGAAGTCGGTGTCGATCCAGTCCTGCCGCAGCCGGTCCAGCACCCGGCTCATGTTCCGGCCGGCCGGCACCCCTGCCGCCTGCGGGAGGGGAGGGGGAGGGGGTGAGCCGGGCACGGCCAGACACGCCGAGCACGTGACAGTGTGCGGCGGCCGAGAGACATCGAGGACAGCACGCACGGGGAGGACGTGGCGGCAGCGCCCGGCGACGACATCATGTGGAAGTGTGCGAGCACGTAGTACATGCATCGCCAAGCAAGCTGTTAACCTACCAAGGTGAAGACACTGAACGCATAACAGATGCCATGCAACCTGCGAAAACATGAAATGAACCGACATAACGAATTCTTATGCTGAAAAGTTTAAATTTCAATCAAGATGTCACAGGGTACTTATTTTACATTATCAAGAAATCATTGGCATATGCAACGGGACTACTTGAAATTTAAACGAAGCCCTTATGGTCCCATCAGTCGTGGCAATGAAACTGCATTGAAACGCCGAACATTCTAATAAAATATACTGATGACTGCTTGGCATCTTCATTTAGCCAGATGTGTGTGGCACTGGGGCTTTATGACGCACTCAGCTGCTGAGGCTATTTGGCATCGCCTGCCTCTCACCCTGGCAGGACGGGCGGGCACCGGGGTGAATCGAACCCCGTACCTCTGGTTTCCCAGACGCGCAGTGGTTAACGCAGACGCGTTAACCATTACACTACCGGCACCCCATATTTGGTCAGATTCTCTAGCATCTAAAAAATCGCATATTTTCGACATGAGCAATGCTAATGCGAACATTATTTTATTGCCTTTCCTCTCTATACCAAGACCGTGGCCGAATTCCGGGGTATATCACACCATTCATTCTTAAGACATTTTACCAATGAGCACAAACATGCCTGAAATCACCGGAATATAACACCAGCATTGGGGTGTGCGTGGCAGTAATCCAGATCAATCCAGTCATAAGTGTTCCCCTGCAGCAACAAGATCTCTTATTTACCTTCAATGTCGCTCCCGTCACTGGAAACTTCGGCAGCTCCCAAGCCTCGAACTCCGCCGCCAGCTCATGCTGCCCTCTATACCTCGCCAGCTCAACTAAAAACTGCTTGCCAAGCCGCTTGCTGGCGCGGAAGTCGGCCAGCAGCTGCTGGAGCGGCTTTATCGGCTGCGGGTGTGGCGCCATCTCCCGGTGGGCGATGATGAAGAGGCCGAGGTCGCGCTCGAACGCCGACAGCTTCAGACGCTGGTGCAGGCTCATCATCTCCTCCGAAGAACCTGCCGGCCGGCATGGAAGCGTGGCGACGACGGGACAGCCAGATAGGCGGCGACACACACGCTGAACATGCGGGAAACGACGACAGCGCAGGCTCGTTCAACCCTCATATCACAGCGTTGACCACTGGCCGAAATCTCTCCGTCTATCCCCAAGTCTCAGCACCCACGATGTCAGACCACAAGACGTCATTTGCCGAGGCCGGCTCGGCGGCAACGGCCGCCGCCTCGAGCCGCGGACTTACGGAGCAGGGCGGCCAGCAGCATGATGGGCTGCGGCTCCGACACCGCCTGCGTCCGGTCACAGACGCGCTCGAACTCGTCCGTGTCGGGCGAGGGAGGCAGGCCCACGTGCGGCCCCACCCCCGCCTCCAGCATAGTCAGCATCAGCTCCCGATGAAACCTGGCGCAGCGGCGGGCGCCGGGTCAGGCTGGAGGCCTCGCGGGCGGACGGCGGCTGGGTCAGCGTGCGCAGGGGCAAATGTCACGACGGAAACCTGGCGCAGGGACAGATGCTGGGTCCCAGTACGCGTCCGTGGGCGAAGATGAGCGCAAGATCGCGGTACGAGCCCGCACGTCAGGCTTTAACCAGAACGTAAGGTATATGGCGACACCAGGTGCCGGTAGGGGCCTCGAGCAGCGGCAGATATCACGTAAGGTCAGGTCACGACGGCGCCCCAGCAGTTTAGCGGGCAACGTCAACAGCCCCAGCCGCCGGTTCCGCCGACCCACTCGGCATTCTCCACCTCCGGGGCGTCCACCTTCACCCGTACCGTCCACCCCCACCTGTGCCGTCTCCGTACCGGCCAGCCCCGCCCGTACCGCCTCCGTACAGGCCAGCCCCGCCTGTACCGCCCTCCGTACCGTCCACCCCTGCCCGTACCGCCTCCGTATCGTCTACCTCCACCCGCACCGTTCCCCACCGCTCGTACCGCCCCCCCCCCCCCCCCTCCGCCCCGTGCCGTCTCCGCATCGTCCATCCCCGCCGTATCCGTACTGTCCACCCCCGCCTGCGCCATCTCCGTACCGTCCACCCCCCCCCCCCCTCCCCGCCCGTACCGCCTCCGTACCGTCCGGCGAGTATGCGCCGCAGCTCCGACCAGAGCCGCTCGCCGGAGATACGCGCCAGGCCGGCCGTGTTGGCGCGAATGGCGTCGAGCGAGGCGGCCTCGTGCGCGTCCGGCGCCGCCGCCAGACGGCCGTAGAAGCGGAAGTAGCGCAGAATGCGCAGGTAGTCCTCCTGTATCCGGCGGGCCGGATCGCCGACGAACCTGCGGCGGTGGCGGGGGGAAGGTCAAGGCACGACAAAAGCCGGAGCTGAGGTCAGTGGCGATACAGGATCGGGAGGGATGAACAGGGTATAATATAGAATCGAATGGGAAGGGAACGCAACATACATCGGTGGGTTGTCGTTATAAATCAGCGAGACGTCGAGGCCGAGGCCTCGGAGGCTCCGGCGGTGCGCGGGTTGGTGGAGAGGTTGAAAACGTCTGTCTGGGTTCGGCACCCTGGCTCAAGAACGCTGGTCTTCACCAACTGTGAGAGACGGTACACTCTCATACCTACCCGGTCACTGGTCGCGCGCTATCGCGACGGTAGCTGATAAGTCGATCTCACGCCCGGGACCAGCCGAACACGCACCCAGAGCGGTCAGCCTGAGCCTCAGTTCGGCCAATCAGAGCCCGGGACTAGCTGAAAACGCGCCCAAACCGGTCAGCCTGAGCCTCAGCTCGGCCAATCAGAGCCCGGGACCAGCCGAACACGCGCCCAGACCGGTCAGCCTGAGCCCCAGCTCGGCCAATCAGAGCCCGGGACGGTCAGTCTGACTGTCGGAGTCTGACCCCGGCCTTGTCAGCACGACTAGGACGGCCAGTCTGACCCCTGGAGCAGACAGCGGAGCGGTGGGACAGTCTGCACCCAGCTGACCTGACCCTCCGGCGCTCGAGGTCGTCGACGCCGTCGAAGTAGTCGTACACGGTGCCGTCGAAGTCGAGGAACATGGCGTTGACTGTGAGGTCTCGGCGGCCGGCGTCCAGCTCCCAGTCCGTGGTGAACTCCACCTGCCAACGCCGGCGCACGCGGCGCGGTGAGCACGCGGCGGCTCCGGCGGCCAGCCGTGCCCGCGCGCTCGCGCACCCTGAGCGAGCGCACGAACTCGCTGCCATCGCACGCACGTACGTACGCACGCACGCACGCGCGTGCGCGCGCACGCACGCACGCACACACAAACGCAAACGCACACGCACACGCACACGCACCATCTCCGCAGTGACCCACGATTGTCACGGTTCAAGCACAACCGCGTTAGACGCCTTGCCTTAGTTTCCATGTGCTATCAGGCAAAGGTATCCCATTTAAATGAGATGACGTCAATTTCCACACCAAATCGTAGTCCCTGGAATCTACTGGCTTTCTCTGGACCTAGGCGTAAAGCACGCGCGCGAGTCTGCGACACAGATTCGTTGCCGAGTGCGAGCCAGCGCCAGGCTACCGGACGTCTCTACGGCCTGCCGACAATGACCGTCACAATGACCGACATGCCCTCCGACCCTCGCCCCTGACCTCGGCAAAGCCTCTGACCTCGGCATACCATCTGAACCTCCCCCTCTGACCCCGGCATACCGTCTAACCCTTGCCCTCTGACCTCGGCGTGCCGACCGTCGGTGGCCACGTCCACGCGCAGCGTGGTGACCTCCATGTTGACGGCGTCGGCGATGCGGGCGGTGATGGTGCCGTGCCGCTCGCCCTTGGTATTGATCAACCGCACCTCCTCCTTGGCGAACAGCTCCTTCATCTGGCCGGGCGTCGCCGGCGTGGCGAAGTCCAGGTCGTGGGGGACGATGCCTGCCGGGGTCACCGGGGTCGGCCGGTCACACGCGCCGGGCCGGGCCGTGCCGACAGCGGAGCTGCCCCGAGGCTGCGCGAGCGCCACCGTGGCACGCGGGCGCGACAAGGCGACGAGGCTGCCGTTGTGTTCGCCACGTCCGTTGGAAGGGGAAGGAAACCTGCTCTGATTATCCGTTGGAAGGGGAAGGATAACTGCTCTGATTATCCATTGGAAGGGGAAGGAGAACTGCTCGGATTGTTCGGACACATAGCACAATACGCTGATTTACAGAGGTTTCAGGGATTACCAGGACAAGCAGGTTTAGAGATCAAGCCTAATCAATTTACAGGTCACTACTGCTGAGTGCTGGCCGGCACTGGATCAAGAAACAGACATAGCGGAAGCCGACCGTGCGTTTTTAATTTGCCCCACCCACGAGATAATATCTTTTTGTAGTTGTGAGGCGACACACGTACACACGTAGTTTCGATCGCGTCATCGCTTCAGAAGGCAAAAGAAACAAAAACAAACAACGAACAGAACCAATCCGTTCGATATACAGTGCCGGCACAGGTGATAAACTGGTTGTAAGAATGCACTCGATTTTTCAATAATTCTTTCAATAATTTCAATAATTTTCGATAATTCAAACGCCACGCCTGTCTTCACCTTCATCAGAGGCTCCCCGCTACGTAGCCGCCAGCTCACCCGACAGGATATCCCGCACGGCGCCGCCGGCCAGTCGCAGCTGGTAACCATGGCGACGGAACATGTCGGCGAGCAGCGCCACCTCGGGCGTGGCCAGCGGCCGCAGCTGCTCGGTCGACAGCTGCATGGTGTTCAGCTGCCTGGCCAGCTGACGGCGCGGGCCGGCCGGCGGTCGGCGGGCGAGGGCGGGCAGCAGGCGGCGCAGGGGCGGCGTTATCATCCGGTCTACGCCGCGGCTACCAACGCGTCCAGGGGAGCCGACTGGTGGCAGATGGGGGGAGCTGTCAGGGGCAGGGTTCTCAGGAGGAGGGTCGCCAGGGCAGGAGGGTCTGGCGGGAAGAGCAGGGAAGGCGTAGTCTGGAGTCTACGAGAGGAAGGGACGGTGCACAGATGTCGGTCAGAGAGCCAGGCAGCGGCGGTAGTGCCCTCATAACCCTCACACGACATGCGACATGCAGGCTGCTTGTCTGCAGTGACACACACCAGCACATTTACCCATTACCCACTAGCCGGTGACCGGGTCAGCTTAGGCGAGAGAAAAGAGCTGGAAGCCGTCAGGCTTAAGCCAGGCGCGACAAGTCACAGCACTAGTTATGGCCAGGGAGAGGGCAGACATCCACTAACGGACAGGCCCACTCACAGTAAATTGTCGCGGAGATGCGCAGTAGGAGTAAGACGGGGTGCAGCAGAGAAGCTACACGTGTGTGGGGAGTAGAGAATGAAGGAGGCCAAAGAGATCAACGTGATAAAGTTTGTCGTTTGTAGCCTTTCAGTGCCTCAACTGTTCGCTTTTGGTAAATGCTGGCGGCTATCATAAGCCAAACCCATGTGAAACAATGCAGAATATTCGCGGCAAAACGTGCCAGAATATATTCATAAATCCGGTACACGGGAATACATGGGAAGTACACAGATGTGTTTCGACAAGTCACCTTTACGACGAATAGCCATATTAGGAAACGCGTACCTTGAAAAATACGTCATGTATTCCCGGACGAACTACCATGTATAGAAATATTACCGGACAACATTGCACGGTGCAGCGGTTCGATACACTCAATACAAAGGCGTGACTGACACCTCTCTTTTCTCACACGATAATCACGCACGACGAAATCGCACATGCTGTTTTGCGCGCCCGCAAGGACATCATCTATGGTACACGCGTATCCTATCTCTATGCATTGATCCCGTTTGTCTGTGCCGTCATATCACAACGTTTCATCCCGATAGGCTTCGTGGGCAGAGAGTAACAGGCAGCAATGGAGCCATCACTCAGCATGTAAACACCCGGTGAAGATTGCTCTTCCAACGTCAAAGTAGGTCTATTGCATTAAAAACTCAATGAGGAATTGGTCAAGCACTCTATGCAGCATGCCCCTTTCGAGTCTTTAAAATGCACATATTACAAATACCAATATTTTCAGTACCTCAATACACGCATGTAATACAAGCATGCATACAATTGTGCAGATAGCTATGCAGAATGGGTAAACTTCTTCCAGCTTTCGCGATGACCAAGGCACTTTCTGCTCCAACAGATAATCCGGGTGTTCATCCCATGGTCACAGTAGATAGCTGGAGCTGCATGATGCCTCTCCGGTTTCCCGTGGCCATTCGCTCCAAAGCCTTTCACCCGACACGGCCCGCCGGCAACAGGACCGCCACCTGTCCGCACGCCCTGCAACTAGCACCGCGGCAGGTCGCCGCCAGGGGCGGCTCAGTAGCGCGTCAGCTTCAGCGGGAAGTTCTCGCTGACCAGGTGGTCATCCTTAAACACCACCACCACGTTCACGGAGAAGTCGATCTGGAAGTGGGCGGCGCTGACGGAGGCGCACGTGAAGAGCCGCGGGAACACCATGTGGATGGGGATGGCAAGGCCGCGCGGCACGTCGCCCAGCCCGATCTGGATGTTCTGCACCTCGGAGCACTGGCGGCTGAGCGCGTCGGCGCGGCCGCAAGCCTCGGCGCGCACCAGCTGCAGCTCGATGCTGCGCACCGGCGCCTCGCTGCTCTCCAGCACCAGCTCGCCGCGCAGCGGCTCGCCCAGCGCGCACTCGGTCGAGTCGAGCCGGCCGCGCAGGCGGAAGCGCGGCGGCGGCGCGGCGGCCGCGTCGGCGCGCGTCAGGCTGCTCGGCGAGACGAGGAACTGGAGCGGCCGCTCGGCGGCCGGCGGCGCCGCGCCGCGGCGCGCCTCCACCATGAACTCGAGCTGCGCGCGCGCGTCGCGCGTCAGCACGCCCCGCCGCACCTCGCACGCCACCGTGTACTGCACGCTCACGTACAGGCCGTGGTAGGTCTCGTGCAGCGGCCGGCCGTGGCGCGCCGCCAGCGCCACCTCGAACGGCACCTCGGTGCGGCCAGCCGGCAGGCGGCCGGGCGGCGCCAGCTCCAGCGTCTCGTGCAGCAGCCGCAGCGACTTGGGCGTGGCGTAGAAGCTGTCGACGAGGCCGGCCGACTTGCCCGAGTGCGTCAGCTGGACGTCGCCCTGCACGCAGAGCGAGACGCCCTCGTGGCGCAGCTCGGTGCGCGCCGTCAGCGCCGCCACGCCGCAGAGCAGCTCGCCTTCGCGGTACACCTTGCTGGCGCGCTGCAGGCGCAGCTCCACCGAGACCATGGCTGAAACACGGCAGAGCCGGTGGCGCGTCAGCCGGCGCCGGCCTGCCATCTTGCGGCCGGTGGCGGAGTCACAGCCGGGTCATTTCGCACGGGTTCGCGACAGCGGCGCGCCGCTCATCGCGCGCCAGACGACGGTGGCGAGGCGCGTGCCCGCCATCACCCTCAGACGCCGCGAAGCCACGCTCGATCGCCCGGGTGCCAAACTCTTGGATGTTGTTGATGCTTGATGGCATTGTAGTCATGATGCATCTTGTGGTTGAATATTTGTTATTCTCCCATCCAAGGGGCCTTCCATTCCCTTTTCATGCATGCAAAAGCATTGCACTCAACCAAAGGCTATATGACACTTGCAGAAGTACAGATCTACTATGAAATAGCCCTGACATTTGTTTTGTCATGCACTGAACAATACAGTGTCCAAGCTCATTATCTTCTTTTGCAGACAGCAGGCTAAGATTTCATAAAACTATCAAACCTTTCTATGCCACTAGCACAGTTCACAAGCATCACCAATATCACCTTTTTTTACTAAAACACTCCTCTAATCTACAGTTTGCACTTATATTGACACCTTGTTCAATTCCATCTAATTAGCTTTATGCTGACAATATTGGATAATACCAAATCATACTTGCATCAGTAATTATATGTTATAAATAATATCAATGCCAACTTCCATGGACTATTCCCAGCAGCTGGAGTGGTCCGCCATAGCTAATGAACATGGATCATGGTAGTCATGATCCATGATCATAGATCATGGATCAGGGGTTGCTAGTCATAAAATTTGAAAAGGTTTGTTGTGATTTATGATAGGTTAAATCTTATGCCATAGCATACCAAAGGTATGTTATAACTTAAACATATATATATATATATATATATATATATATATATATATATATATGTAGATAATTGTTGCTGCAGCCTCTGACATGCAGGACATGTCCAGGTAAGGTGCTATCTTTACAGCTTGATGTCACAGTACATACCCAAGATCAGTAATCATTGCTGACTTCTAAAAGTGAGCTTGTGACTTGTGGGTCATGCTTTGAATATGCCTTAGATCCCAAGTCATCGGAAATTAATTCAAGCCATCAGGACACATGCTTTATAACATTTAGGAGCAAGAATAGTGTCTGAGCCAAATTTCATGATATCTTGTCCAATTGTGAAGGCAAAAGAACAATTTTAAGTTGGTCAAGATAATATACAATAAGCTAATAATGTAAGATGACAACATAACACGGAGTTTAAACACACCTAATGTCCCCTCCCAATCTCTCCTTCACACGCTGCAACTGCACGCAGCCCGCAGCTCCATCACGCCGAGGAGTGAGGACTGCGTCAATATGGCAGAAGACAAGGGCAGGACAAGTAGAAAACAGCATCACAACGAGGCAGAAAGGAAGCAACTAACCTGTTAAATCTTAATTCTACGATTCAGCTGCACATCGGACGAAACACGGACCCACCACGCACCAAGTACGGCTTTTATCTTCACCCAGCCTGAACGCATGCGACCAGCGACCCAGGGCAATACAACACCCCAGCGACCACATCACCCAAAGTTTAAAATCAAGTTCTATCAACTGGTTCACGTGAGTCGGGCCTAATTTTGCAAGCACTCGGTTTACTCAAACCCGCAAAAATAGGAGAAAACGGTTTTAAATAATTCATAAATGTCTTCTAAATCCTCATTTCTAAATATATGATAAAAAATGGCAATAGATGGTGTAGAAAACTTCTAGTCACGTAAGAACAATGCGAGTTGCATCAGGTTGTTCAACTATTACCACATAGGCAGCTGTCTATTAAAACGAACGCAGGACGAACGGAGGAAGCCTCAATAAGACATTATAGCTAATGTCGGTCTTTCCAGCGCATCACTGACAAAAGACAGGATTGTCAGTGCAATTTTACGAGATTCCGGTGTCACGCGCCTGGTGCCATTTGGGTGGGCGTGTGTTGTTGGCAGAGGCCAGTACTTTGGAGCAAGTTGTGAACGACCTAGGTCGAGTAGACACATAATTATCGCAAGACATTGAATGGTGCCCATGAGGCATACTTAATATACTAAAGTTGTTTCCTTTTGTGGTACCAAAAACAACAGAAATCAGTAAGTGCTGTGCGTCCTGCTTTTGTTAGTTTATTGGTGTTATTCATGGCTATGAGGTCGCGTGGTTAGATAGAACCAGGTACACAGCCATGATCTGTTATGAAGGTGCCTGGGGTTTTGCTCTTATATCTTGCTCCAGGAGTCCAAAAATGTCACGTAAGGCTGCCAAATAAGGGGCAGTGGTGTTGCTGACAGGATCCCTTTAGTTGTGCTTTTGGCCCGGTCCACAAATTGTCTATCTAGTGCATGAGACACCTAGGAGCCATCTGTATGATGGAGATCACACTTGTGTGGATCTAACTCATGCCAGGTCATATTGTGCTGATTTTTGAAAATTTGGTGTGCAGGGAAGGAAATTTGGGAGTACCCTTGTAGGATGATAATTTCTTGAAAAAATGTTTTTCCTTGCACTGAAATTGGCAGTGCCTATGATTCTAAGTCCTCTAGCTAAATTCTGAAATTTGGACATACAGTGTGCAACTGGGTAATGTTCTGCATGCTATGCCATGATGCATGATGATATTTAGGTGTGATGGTGTAAAGCAATGACCATGGGTACGTGATAACTTGATATCTCAGCTAATTGTCAAAAGATATTTCTGCTTTGGTCTGTTCAAGGTGAGATGCAAAGGATGCTAGGAGAGCAGCACCTAGGAAATAAATATAGGAAATAAGTAGCAAGGAATGCTAGGAGAGTTTTTGCTTTGACTGCTGTGGAGGGTTATAAAACATCTAGCATTTAAAATGTGTTTAGAACATGATGCACAAGTATGAGTGCCACAAACTTGAAAACCGGCGGAAACAACATATCCGACGTGGGTTGGATGTACAATTATCTTCGTCAATTGCATGTAAAGATTCAGCAGCACCGATGCAACTACTGCTCTAAGGCTAATGTGCCAAGGGAAATATTCATCGTGTATATTTCAAACTTGTGTACATGAAGTGATCAGTGCCTGAGCGATCGAGGGTGCCGCGGCAGGTCGACAGAGAGGCTCTTGTCAACAGTGCAGGGTCTTGAGAGCAAGCGAGAAGGATCAAGACCAGCTTGGTGATCCCTTAAATGATCGGGAGTGCCCAGTCAGGTTAAGACATAGTCATTGTCATAGTCATAGTCATAGTCATAGTCACAGCCATTTATTGGAATTATCATAGCCATAGTCATAGTCATAGCCATTTATTGGAATCCTACCACTCGGTGGTTATTACGAATTCAGTCAATGCGCTTACAGGATGCTGTAAAATGTCAGACAAAGTAATATGCAATGGTGCAATAGAAGTAAAATATAGGTGCTACTTTAAACGCTCCCTATGAATACGCATGCCACAACAAGACCGTCCCAAGTGCAGTGCAGCGACATCACACGTTGCTGTCCCCGGCAGCCGGCTCCGCAGACCTGGCCTCACAGCATGGCACGGATCGATACGCAAACTCTCGCTGAGTTCTTGTAAGTCGACTCCTTTGGAACCACAGAATTCCGGCCGCTGCGGTACGGGTATCCCGCGATGATGCACGGACGCGAACAGACATGTCCATTATAGTTGGGGGGGGGGGGGGGAGGGGGACACTAGCTGCGGTGCAGGGCTCTCTGCACCTGTGCAAGGTCGTGGTGGCGCACCGTCCCCTCCACCCTTGTGCAGCCAAGTGCTTGTAGAGCCGGCGAAATGTGTTCCGAGCGCCGCATCCCAGTCACACGTCTGGCCGCGAAGTTCAGTGTCTTTTGGACACGTTGAAGCTGGCACTTAGTGGCTCCTCCGCAGACAGAAAGGCAGTGATAGATGTGTGGGAAAACTTGTGCCTGGACTAGAAGTTTGAGGAAGTCGGATGTAAAATGATGCCACAGGTCCTGTGGAGGGATGATATGATGGAGGTTCACCGACAGACCAACATGGGTGTACGCGAGTCCCACGTCAGATGCTGGCCGAAGAATACGCCAATAGTTTTTACGGTTCTGTAACGATTAAATTGTGATGTATTTTGTGTTACAAAACTGCATCCGTTCGTCCGGCTGTGGACCTCGTCGGAGCCTATGAGCTCATTCGGGGCCCAAGGAGGTACATAGTCCCGTGCGCTCCCCTCTGGATCCGCCACTGGCCCGAACAGCGTGACAGAGGGCCCCAACAATAGCGTTGAGTCCTTCAAGCAAACTAAAAGTATCCAAGATAAATTAGAGCCACCTCCCCCCCCCCCCCCCAAACGACCAAACGACCACTAGCAGGTAACAAATGGTGCCCGATGGTGGCGTAGAGCCCCCCCCCCCCCCCCCCATTCAGACAGTAAATACTAATAGCGTAGAGCGCTCCATTCAGATAGTAAATACTAAAGACCCGGAGTGGCGGGCCGGACGATCCAGCGTGGTCGAGCAGGTTATCCGATAGGGACCCCAATAGGAACGCAGGGTAGGGCAAGTGACGACAAATGGGAAGGGCCCTAGACAGCTGTAGACGGCCCATGAGCATATCGCGAGTGTGTCAATAGAATAACGGAGACCGATGTGACGGGCCCGTAAGAAACGGAGAGTAGCCCTGCGGGTGAACATGTGGGGTCCACGGCAATAGCGTAAAAGCCTTTCAGGCGAGTAGGAGGAATCCTTGGAGAGCAGGTAATCGACAATAGTGCCCTGGCACGCTGGCGGATAAAGCTCAACAAAAGCGTAGGACCCTCCCACCAGATGGAGAGGTATCAATGACAATGTGGAAAGCTCTTTAGCGACCGGATCGCCCCTGCAAGTGGACTTGTAGGGCCCCGGCAACAGCGCGGGGCCCCTAGACAGCTCAATGGGCCCTAACATCCCTCCAATCACCACCCGCTCAATCAGGAAGAATAATTTTCTTCTTCCACTCGTGAGCCCTTCGCTTCCGCTTGCAACTGTTCTTTGTCTGGAGGCCCAAAGACGTCCAGTTTTGTTGCGTTTTGTGTTGAAAGGCCGTGTCTGTTCAGCCGGCCGCGGGCCCCTCGGAACCTTTAATGAAGCCCAAGGTGGGGGGGGGGGGGGGGGCATGATCCCCCCGGATCCGCCACTGCGTGAGCATGGGTATGCGAATTGATACGGCCTCTTGAGAACCCTGCGTGCGAGAGCTCAGCGTCATCATTGAAATATAGCCGTTCTTTCCATGCATCGCCACAAGTCTAGTGTTTAAATACGTAAACAGTGGCTAGAGACGGCTGGCTCTTCCCCAAAGGTATACAGTGGCACCCCTGGCGGTATGGATCTAAATATTGAGGCGTTTGTGGTTTTGCATTTACGCACACCTACCTGACTGGATAAATCTTTAGATGACACATACGTTGTCGTTTGAGCTGAAGTAACTGGTTAAACGTCCCAAATACGCGTTAGATCTAATTGGATAAAGAAAGGTACGCCTTAATGAGCTGGAATAGACTGGGAGCTGCCCTCATTATGCTCATATATGCTCATGTGATATTAAGGTTGAATACGGCTTAACAATGGCGTAGTTATACGACTTTTACGAATGTATCAATCATGAATGTATCAAATAACAATCCTCGCTCGTGGATTAGGTCTGAATAACGTCAGCTAAAAGGCGGAAATGGGCCATGTTGAGTTTATGTGTTGTGGATTGGGTTAGTCTTGATCTCGGGAACTAAATGCATGAAAAGCTTTCATCAACATATCGGTACAGACGCTGGGGCAGGTACAATCATCCGCAAACTTTAGAAGACAGCCATAGAAATACCCAAGCTGTGCATAGTATTGAGCTGTCATTTGTGCGCTAGTGTTGAGGGCCAAGGAACATCGTATCACAATGAACGGATATCCCTATTGCGACATTTTCACGAACTCGCACCTTCGCCGTGATAACTCTATGGTAACGCCGAATTCCTAAACCGTTCGATGCATCTTTCCGTATCTATGCAGCTAGCTTTTGCATCGTAGCTCGTGCACAGAAACTGTTGGCACCCCTGACTGTAGCGGGTACAATGTTGTTACTCAGTCCGTGCCGTGATGCATTTATGCGTGACGTTGAGAGAGCGGCAGATCCTCACCGTCACGGGTGGTCCAGTCCACACCCGAACGTCCTGGTGGGCCGTCTGCGGGCACAAAAACTGCGCCAGACTGGTGCGGTCACACAAAAACGCCCCAACAGGCCGTGGGTTCAAAACCGAAGCGTGGACTGTGCTCTTGTCGCTTTGGTGACGCGTTTTGCCTGTCGCGTCCTGAGCGCCCTGCGTAGGAACAGGAGTGAGTGGGTGTATGCCTGCGGACAGGCGTATGTGGACGTAAGCCTGTGGACGGTAGTGTGTGGACACCCCTGCGGGCAGGCGTGTGTGAACGGAAGCCTGTGGATGGTAGTGTGTGGATACTCTTGCAGACAGGCGTGTGTGGACATAAGCCTGTGGATGGTAGTATGTAGACACTCCTGCAGACAGGCTTGTGTGGATAGAAGCAGACAGACGCTGTGCGTGCCCAGCCCAGCCGTCACCG